TGATGATTAGTTGATGGATATTTAGAATGGGGACCAAAGTTTACATATTCTTTTAGGGTTTTTTTTTTTTTTTTTTTTTTTTTTTTTTTTTTTTTTTTTTTTTTTTTTTTTTTTGTTTTGCTTAAAGAGCTGGTCTCTAAAGAGCAGAAGAAACGATCAGAGGGTTCCATACCCTGAAGATACAGGGAATGTCTCGGCGTGTAGCGTGGATGACATCGGGGGCCAGGACGGAGCTCACGGAGAACTCTTCGTCTCTGTGGGGAGAGAACACTCAGAACTCGGGCCCACCCGACACGTCCAGACTGCCGACTGTGGCCCAGGAGTGAGGACGCCGCCAGCTCCCCTCCACCTGGATGGGAGAGTGCGACAGCAAACCAAAACGCTGGCGAGGCCTGGCAGGCGCCTGAGCGGGGCAGAGCTTCTGGGGAGCAGCCCTCGCTGTCCTGGTGCATGTCAGACAGCCCTCACGGCAGACCCGCCAGAGCAACCTGGCCTGCACCGGGCACTATCAGGCAGCCAGGTGACCATCGCTAAAGCAAGGGACAAAACCTGCTGAGGAAGGGTGCAGGTCCCACTGCCATCCACGCCGAACAAGCCGTGTCCACCTGGACTGGTGCCTGTGACACGGGCCTGCGTGGGTCTCGAGTCCGTCTGCCAGTCAGGAGCAGCCTGGCTCAGCGGGACGAGCAGGGGCCTGGCAGGGTCGGGGACCCTGGCACGCCCTTGCTCTGGCAGCTGTCTGGCCCTCGGAACCCGTGTGGGAGCCAAGCCCGGCCCAGGCATGAGGGTACGGGCACAGCAGGTGTGCCCTGAGCCTGGCCTGTGTGGGGCGTGCCCTACCTGGAGTGCAGTCCCCTCGCAGCCGTCTGCACCGGCCGTGAGCACTGCCCTGAGTGCGAACGGGAGACGGAAGCTCAGGGGAGCACGTGGGGGCCGCCTCTGCGAGCAGGTCAGGCTAGGGCGGACCACCTGATACAGGCACGTGCGAAGGCTGTGGCCGTGCACGGCCTAGCCCGGCCCGGGTGTCTGGAGAGCGCAGGCTGCCGCAGTGGCCTCGCTTCTCCCCAGGACCCTTCTGTGGGCTCTTGGGCATGTGGCTTCTTACATCAGATGCATCCCTGTGAACTGTTCAGTGCAAACGTGTCCGAGTAGGGAAACTCGTGGTGTGCACTTTAAGTCACACCTAAGCGTTTCCCCACTTCTGGAGCGATACAGTCACTAAGGAAGCGAAGGTATAAATGAGGTTAAAGATTACCAAGCAACAAACCCTCATCTCGGCGAAAGAGACCCAAGTTCAATACAATGCACGGAAGCGGGGTGCTGCTCCAGACACAGACCTGAGGTCCAGAACCTGGCTGGCAACGACGCCTGGCTGGGTGGATCTCCCTTCGGGCAGGTCGTACAGGAAGAGCTTACAGTCGCAGACCACCGCGTAGGCCCGCTGCCAGCCTTTCTTCACCCCAGTGGGCTTGGGGACCTACAGAGAAGCAGTGACCATGTCCGCTCGGCCGGCCAGGCTGGCCAGCATCAACTGCAATCATGGGCCCAGAGACCTGTGCAGTCCCCCTTCAGGGTCGGCTGCCTCGTGCCCCTGCTCAGGCAGATTTGGGGCGCTGCTGGGTCGCGTGGGCACCTAGGGACACCTGTGCACGTGGTTCTTAAACCACTGAGCTTTGGGACCTGACAGAAGGCCTGTCAGCCGCCACAGCCCAGGGTTCAGGGAACCAAGGAGCCCCACGCGGATTCACATGCGTTTGTGCACAGGGTCCTCAGGGCCCCGGAGCCGCTTAGAGCAGTGGCAGCACTAGCCCGGGCTCCTGGTTTCTGGGGGAGGCCTCCTGGAACCTGCACCAGGGCCACTCCTCACAGCACGGGGCTGCTCTCAGGACGGGCTGGGCGGTCACCAGCCATGACAGCACACGGACACCCAGAGCTGACCAATGGCAGCGGAAGCTGAGCCCGCGGTCACCTACCTTGACGTAACCTTTGTAGGCCGTCCCTATGCCCCTCTGCACGTCCACTCCGAGGGGCCGCTTGGACTGCTCGGGAGGGATGGGGCACACCTGGGGAGCGCTGTCCTTGCAGGACGCATGGCAGACGAACGAGCACACTGGAAAGGACAGAGAGCACCTGAGCGCCGCGGGAGGGAGGGAGGGAGCGCAGGTCTGGGAGGCGTGCCCCGGAACACGTCAGCGCTCAGTAAGGAAGCGGCCCAGACACAGGTGCACACTAAGCCTGGGTGACATGGGCCGCCTTACTGCCAAGCTCAGGGGCAGCGGGGCTGCCAGATGCGCGCTTTGTTCTCCTGGACATGCCCACACCCGGGGCACTGTCTCCTCACAGTACCCTGTGTGCCAAGGGCAGGTAGCAGGCCTGTGACACATGGAGGCCAGCCCAAGGCAGCAACAGGAAATTACTCCTCTCCTACAGGAAATGCAGGCAACGCCATGGTTGCTCGGGCAGACTCTGGTGGGGGTCTGTGCTCGGGGCAGGGAGGTCGGGGTCCCGCCTTCACGTATCACCCCCGGGGTGACGGGACTGGCTGTTCATCTAGGAGATGAGGGAGCGACAACCACAGCAAGCAGGCTGAGTGAGGAGACAAGGCTGTGCAGCCACCTCCCAGCACGGGGCGAGAGGACAGAGGGGTTTAAAAACTATGGATGGGACCAGCAGGTGGTGTAATGGTTACGTTGCTGGACTCCCATGTAGTCAACCATGGTTCAAGTCCCGGATCTGACGGCTTAAGTCTCATGCCAGGTACATGTGTATGTGCCCAAAATCCTGAGAGGATAATGGAGGAGAAAGAATTGTGGGGTGGCCGTTCCCCTTGAGGGGTGATTTCTCGCTTTCTATTTCTCTGTCTCTGTCTCTCTGGCAAGTGCATGTGCCCTACAGCAAAAATCTGTCTAAAAAATAAATAATAAAAATATATCAAAACTGCAGCTGGTGAGTAGAAGACCCAGAATAACGGCACTGCCTCTTGATGACAGGGTGGCAGAAGACCAGAGTCCCTTTCCTCTATGTTCAGTGATTTTCTGGACGCACCACCACGTGGCTCACCCAGTCACCCGGCTCCGCAGTGCTGTGCTCTCCCGGGGTGGCAGGGACTCATGGCTCCGGAAAACCCTCCCCAGGACACGAAGAGCCCGCTCCAGTAACCCCCAACTCTGGTTCAGAGACCGCCTGCCTGTCTGTGAGCTGCTGCACCCAGGCAGCCGTGCCCGGGCCACATGCCACGCCCGCGGCACGGGGACACTCACCCTCGCAGGCGTAGCCCTGGCGGATGAGCCCGACCATCAGGGAGGTGCAGTGGCTGCACTGAGTGGGGCTGGAGAATGACTTGATGCTGAACTGGTGAGCCTTTGGCTGGGGAAGACAGCAGGAACCGTGTCAGGGGGAAGCACAGCTCAGGACAGGACCCAGGGTGCTGGCGGCCGAGTTCAGGACGATGTGGGCACTGGCCTGGAAGGCTCCCCGGGCGAGGTGTGGTACCACTTGAGGAGTTTGGACCGCAGGCACGCCAGAGTGCTCCCGCAGCCTCACTGCCAGAGGTGCTGTGGGGCCGCAGGGCCACGCTGACGCGCTTTCTGGACCCCCCAATGTCTTCTGGAGGACCAACCAGCACCAACTGGCTCGGGGGCCAGTGTGGGCCGGATTTTTGGCCGGCGTCACCCAGAGCAGTTGCATGTATGACAGGAAACATGCAGGAAGGGCTGCTACAGCCCCTGGAAGACACAGGACGATGCCTTCGAGCACAGGGCAGAGCACCGTCACGTGGAAAGCAGCGTGGGCTACGACGTGCTGTGTGCGACAGCCAGGAAAGGCTATCTTAAGAAAGTGTGGCTACAGGGCACGTGTGCTTGCTGGTGGGGGAGTGGGGGAGTAAGAAAGCACCCCCCGGGGAATCTCCTCTATTCTCTCAGGACTTTGGGTACAACGCATGTGCTTGGTGTGTTTTTCGATCTGCTTGGTCCAGGACTTGAACCACACTGTTAGCCATGTGGGATCCAGCACCTTAACCACCCTGCCACCAGCTGCCTAAAAACTGCTATCTTCCTGGGGCCAGCAGGTGGTATGGTGGTTAAGGCGCTGGATCCCACATGGTCAACCACCATTCAAGGCCCAACCTGATGGCTTGAAAAATCACACGGGGTGGGTGTGCGTGCGTCTCCAAAATCCTGAGAGGAGAATGGAGAAGGAATTGCAGCATGGTCACCCCCTAGGGGTAATCTCTCACTTTCCCTCTCTCTGGTGAGTGCAAAAGCCTTATAGCAAAAACCTTATTTAAAAAATAAATAAATAAAAGAGCTCTCTTCCCAGAAGACAAATGTGGAGAAGCCACCTGTGAGAAGTACACCTGGGAGGGTGACACATCTGACAGGACTGGTCTGGGTGTCCCATGTCCCACCCAAAGGACACTCACGTCCCCTCCAGCGGACGAGCGCCCCAGCCTGGAAGTGCAGGTGGAGACCACATGTGCACGGAGAACTAAAACAGCCAAAGTCCGTCCTGGACACAGAGCAAAGGGTTACTCAGCCCGAGTCTCAGGGCCTTGTCACAGCCAGAAACTCCGTCACCTGTGCTAGCCCCAGGACTAGGGCCCTCTGAAGACCAAAGCAGGCCAGGCAGGCCTCCAGCAGGCAGCTCATGACAGGAAGGCCCGGGGCCGCGTCTCAGAGCACTCGCGGTCCCATTCGTCTTGAGGGGAACTCTTACCCACACACCCCATGGATCTCTCCTGCTCTTTAAGTGCAAACAGATGAATAACAATAAACTTGGAGAAGGGGCTCAACGAATACCTGACACAGAGTGGCTATTTCTGGAGAGGTGAACGGGTTTGGAAGTGAGGAGACTAAAATTTCTGAGTGACATTGGCGGCATCAGAGGACCGGGTTCTGACGCCTACCTGGGCCATGAACTACTCTGAACAGACCCAGAACAGAACACAGGGTCTTTATTTTGTGTGGCTAGGAATGATCAGTCCATTTTATTATGCAGAAGTTATTTTCTAAAATTAACAAAGTGAGGTAAAAAGCGAGGTCCTACCTTCGGTCCAGCCAGAGCCAGGGTCTGCGTGGTGGGCAACGGCACTGGGGGCGGCCTCTGTGGGGGTCGGGCCATGTCCTGAGAGGCAAGCGGGGGTGTGTAAGCCCAGTGCTACCAGCACTGGGCTCAGAGCTACCTGCCCCGAGCCTGGCTCTGAGCCTGGCTCAGGCACCAGCTCAGGGCAAGGCAGGGACGGGCCAGCTCGCCTCCGGGCAGCTCCTGCTCAGCGAGGGCGGCACAGCCCAAGGAAGCGGGGCAGCCTGAGCCCTGAGACTGGCCGGCCGCGGTGACTTACCTCCTGTTGGTCTGTGCCTGTGGCTGCAGAGGTGGACGGGGACACTTCCGGCTTGGCGGCACGTGTGTCTTGCTCACTCGCTGAGCTCGTCTGTGAACACAGATGGGCAGTGTGGGCACGCACTCTGCAGAGCTCGGGCTCTCACTGCTGGACCCTCGTCACCCTCCATGACTTACAGCAGACCCCAGCTTCCCCTGGAGCTCTCCTGCCCTCCCAGGACCACACCTGGGTGACCGTGTGGGCAGTGGAGTCTGACAAGCCACAACCCTAATCTGAAGCCCTCACCACCCACTCTCTCCCTCGGCTGTTGAAAGGGCAGGGCCTGGAGAATGCCAGCCCTCCGATCTTATTCGTAAGTAATGTTGTCTAAATTGGGTGGTCTTAAGATCTACTAGCTTCTTCACCTCAGCTTAGGGGTCAACAAGAAATTTTAACATCAGTAGAGGCCTCTGAGCTGTGCTTCCGAGAGAAGAAAGAACTTCCATGCAAGTTTCATAGTACCGGGAAGCAGTTTTGCCTTGTTCTAACAACTTAAGAGAGTTCCAACTTCACTTTACAATAAACTCTTGAAGTTAAAGGTACATTCCAAAACTACTTAAGAGCAGCCCCTATGGGACCAGCAGATGGCATAATGGCTACATTACTGGATTCCCATGTAGTCAACTACAGTTCGAATCCCGGACCCAGTGGCTTAAACTCACGCCGGGCGCATGTGCACGCATGTCCAAGATACACGGGTGATTTCTCATTTTCTGTCTCCCTATAGCAGAAACCTCCCTCTCCCCCCCAAAAAAATACCCAGCCCTAACGCCACTGTTTCATCCCCAAAGTGGCCGTGATTTGCTGGCCCAGCTGCCATCTCTGTACGTGCGGTGGCAAGTGTGGCAAGAGGCGGGCGAGCTACTGCACAGTCACTGCTAGCTAGGGACCAACGGCATGCTGCAGCTGTATTCTGTGATAAACACTTTCCAACAGTTGCAATTAATTACGCTAAGCAGGAGCCCAGTCCAGCAGGAAGGCAGTGCATACAGTGCACACACCACGCATGCGCCATGCTGGGACTGGGCACAGCCCTGCAAGGGGAAGGCCGGACTGACCAGCTGCTTGTCCAAGCGAGGAACTAAGCACATTCCCCAAAAATCAGGTGTGTTAGATGAGTTAGTGCTCTACCTCAGATCAACTAGGAGTAAGACGTATCATGTCGCTTAATTTCAGCCATGTAAAAGCCCCACTAGTTTCATTTAGTTGGTTAACTAATCAAAAGGATGCAAAATACGGAAGACAAGTGTCCAGCACGCTGCTGGTCAGCGGGAGCGGAAGCTTGGGAGCTGGCACTGCAGCACTTAGGCCTTCCCAAAAGGCTAGTGAAGATGCAGGCGAGGAGGAGGCAGAGTCCTGGGTGTCACTGCCCACCTGGGGGCGCTGGTGCGGAGACATGCTGAGGACACAGGCAGAGGCTTCTCACCTTGCTGTCTGGAAATGTCTAGCCCTGTCGACTCTCAGGGGTGCTCTCTTTTAAAGAGCAAACGCCCCTCCCACCAACATCAGCAAGGGGAGGAGGAAGGGCCCTGCCCTCCCTGCAGCTCAGCACCCAGAGCTGACCACCTGCTCCTGCTCCGGAGGGCTGCACTGGCTGAAAACCTGCCCACCATCCAGCTCCGGCCTTTGTCTCTAATCTGCAGAAGTCACTGTTCTCCTGAAGTCTGCACACTGGACCATCCCGGCCCTGGCTCTGAGAACTTCACCCATGGTGATAGGAGAGGCCCATGACCTGTGCAGCAGCAGATCTGCCGAAGCAGCAGCGAGCATGTCCCAGTCCAATCCCAGCTCCGTGGCTGGCAACGCACGCCAGGAATTCTAGCTACTGGGGAGCCTGAGGCAGGAGGACCTGAGAGGCAGGACCCTGTCACAATACCTCTCTCTTCTCCCTTCTTTATTACACACACACACACACACATACACACACATATACACATACATACACACATACACACACACACACACACACACACGGTCTTTGAAAGACTCACAGAAATGCATTACAAAAAAAGTATGCATGGATTTCAAAATGTGCACACAAATCTCATACAAACGTTTTAATTTGTGTGTGTGTGTGTGTGTATCTGTGTGTGTGAAAAAACAAACAATTCAACAGGCCTGGGTGAACGGGCACGTGCCTAGATGGCCATGCACAGAGAGCTGCCTGGATTCTGCGAGCTCACAGAGCCAGGACGGCTGCTATGAGTCACCCTGCGGAGGCTGCTGGAGATAGACCACCATGCAGTCGGTCAGCTGTTGACTGTACCCTGCTCCCCAGTGGGTGACTCTGGCAGATGGCACCTCAAGCTAAGGGTCAAACTCAGTCTCATTAACCCAGGGCACGCTGGGCTGTGCACAGGGAGAGCACACAGCCCTGCAGTGCAGACCCACGCATGAATGCCCCACACCAAGCCCCTTGAGGAGCCGGCGGTGTGTGGAAGGCTCACCCACACGACTGGTCTGGACACTACAAACACAGCAGTGCCCTAACGGGAAAAACGAGTGCACGTCCACATTACAGGGGACGGGGACCCGAGTTAATGCGACTTGTGATCTCAGATCAGCCCTAACTGGGGAGGAAAAGCCAGCTAAAGAGGGCAGAGCAGGGCCGGCAAGTGGCGTGGAGGTGAAGGCGCTGGACTCCCACATGGCCGACCTTGCTTCAAGTTCCAGACCTGGCAGCTGCTTTCTCACTCTCTCTCTCTCGCTCGCTCTGTCCTTCTCTGGTCAAATAATATAAATAAAGTTAAATGAAGTAATTCTTAAAAAAAAAAAAAAAAAGAGGACACGGTATGGGCATGCACCCACGGGAGCGTGCTGTCAGGCTGCAATGCCTGCGTGTGGTAACGGCAGGCAGTCAACTGCAGGAACGAACCGAGCAAATGAGCGCTGGAGTATCTGGGTCACAGGCACCTCGGCGGAGACCGGAGAGGCTGCGCGTACCGGAGACAGAGCCAACGTCAGGAACTGCAGGTGAGGGTCTGAGAGTCGCAGCCTGGGCCTGCCAGTGCATGGTGGTTGCGGTGGCTGGATCCCACATGGTCAACAGCCCAGTTTGAGTTCTGGACCCATTCACTTGAAAAGCATGCTAGGACACGTGTGTATGTGCCCTAGACCCCGAGGGGACCATGGAGAAGGGCCACATCCATGTGCGGTGTCCTTCAGGGGTGTTTTCTCACTCTGGCAAGCGCGTGCCCTCTAGCAAATTTTAAACAAAGGAGGGTGGGGTGGCAGGTGGAGTGGTGATCAATGGCGCTAGGCTCCCACGTGGCCGCCAGGGTTGGAGGCCTTTCTCACCATACCCCCAACCCCGCTCTGTCCCTCTCTGGTCAAATTTAAATAAATTTAAATAAAATAATTCTTAAAAAAATTGGAAAACCACTAACAAGCATCTTCCCAAGACCCATTAATGAGATTTGCTTTCTTATTCCGAGGCTTGTATAGCCTCCTCCACAAACAGAACTCCCACAGACGGGGAGCAGGCGGGGTTCGCACACGTTCCTGCTGGGAGCCTGGGGCTTGGGGGGCCTGTGGCCAATCCCATGCCAGGGCCTCAGCCTGCCGAGACTTCACGCCAAATTATTCTTACGAACCACCACTCCTGCCGATCACTGAGGCCACACTGCAGCCCCACGGAAGTCATGGAAAAGGTCACAGGACTGCATGGCTGAAGTGAAACACTGTTTAAAACGTTACCTCAAGTGACCACCAAATAGTCACCACATAGTCACCCGCCAACGACAACTTCTTTCCTGAAGACACGGAGCACATTCTTACTTTCCACCGACGTGCTGAGAAAGCTTCCCCAGGAGTGCCCGCACCCAGGGGCCTTGCCCTCACGCAGTCACCATCCCAGCCAACCACACGGACACAGCACACCCTGCGGTCCGTGGAAGTGCAAACGTGGTGTGCGGGGCCCAGGGGGTCGAGTCCTCTTACGCGATTTCTAACTTATCATAAAAACTGTCACTTCCAAAAAAGACTTACTCTAAACGTCAGATCGTGTGCAAGAGGTGCGGTGTTGAAATACTCAAAAACAGAATCCTGGAAGTCTGGAAGTCGGAGCCCTGTGAGGAAGAAACAAAGGTAGGGGCAAATAAAGACTAAACCTCGTCTTTAGATAGGAATCCACGAAGCCACTTAGATGACAGTTCTCAAGCTAACTGACCAACCTGATGGGATCCCAGGAAAAACACCACAAGGCTTTTCCCCAGAGCCAAACGAGGGACTCCAGAAGCTCACTTGGAAAGGGTAACTCGGAGAACCCTGAGAAGGGGTAGGGCGGCAGGGAGTAGGTCTCCTAGGTGCTGAGACAGACTTGCGGCAGCTGCCTCATCGGGTGCAAGGGGCTCTTGCCTAGGAACAATGGAATGAGGCAGGAGATCCAAGAACAGACCACAGGGCCACAGAGACCTTGTCTATGATGAGAGTCATGCACAAAGTCGGCAGGGAAAGAACTTTCTTTAATTTGACCAGAGAGGGACAGAGAGGGAGAGGGAAAGGGAAAGTGAGAAAGCAAGCTGCCAGGTCTGGGACTCAAACCACGGTCAGCCATGTGGGAGTCCGGTGCCTAAACCACCAGGCCACCTACCAGCTCCTGGAGAGAACTGTTTAATATTGGTATTGGATCTACCCCTCACACTGTGCATCAGAGGCCAACACACGGGGTCAGTAATCTAGCTTAGAAAATGATGCCACTCGAGTATTAGAAGAGCACACGGGTGAGCCTGTAAGTGGGGCCAGAAATAGACCGACTATGAGAGGGAAGACTGACACATCTCACACACAGAAAAAATATACTTTTGCTTGGCAAAAAACGCGTCGTAAGCAGAGTCAAGACTGGATGGCACGTGAGAGTAAAAGGCCACACTGCACAGCAGAGCCACAGCTGCCCGCGCACCTGCCAGATCGGGGCTGGGTGAAGGCCCCGTAGGGATGCCGTCTCTGTCTTTGTCTCTTAGGAAAGAAATAACTTTAAAATAATAATAATAATAAATCCCTACAAAGAAATAAAAAAGAAACCCTGGTGTTCAGGCCCCACAGACACTCGGATTTCTTTTACAGGTCTGACGGTAGCCAAGGTGTCAGGATGTGAAGGGCAAAAGTGTCGAAAGACAAAGCAGGGAAACCACTTGTAACTTAACCACATACGTAAGGCTCCAATTCCCAAAACAAGAAAAGATACGGATATATATGGGGTCGTCAGAAAAGCCATGACATGTTTTTGCATAGAAAAAAAAGTTATGACTTTCTGACAATCCAATAATTCAGAATATGAAACACAGATGGTATTTAAAAATAGGAAAATATGCTCAATCTTATAAGGAAAATCAAACCTATATTGAAATGTGGTTTCTTACCTATTTAGAATGATCAGAATCCAAAAGTTTAGAGCCATACTTAGGGGACTCCTTGGCACCGAGTATGAGGGCATGGACACCTGTCCTGTGTCTTGGCAACCCTTTTGCTTTTAGAAATCTATGCCCAAAATACACAAGCAAAAAATACACGATGTTGGGGGCTGGCAGGTGGAGCAGTGAAGCGGCTGGACTCCCTCGTGGTTGGCCATAATCTGAGTCTCAGACCTGGTGGCTTGAAAATCAGGCCAGGTGCATGTGTGTGTCCAAAGTCCCGAGAGGAGAATGAAGAAGGGACTACGGCATGGTCAACCCCTCTGGTGGGCGACTTCTTGCTTTCTGTCTCTCCGTCTCTCCAGTGAGTGTACAGGCCCTATAGCAAAAATCTCTAAAAATACAATAAATATAATGAACAAATAGAAGTCAAATAAAATGTTTACGGGCCTGCACGTGGGTGGTGTTGAAGGTACCTGGATCCCACATGGCTACTACGTGGTCTGTCCTGGACCCAGGAACAGGGGGGGTGCACACGCACCCAAAGTCCTGAAGAGTGACAGACGGAGAAGAGACTGCAGCATGACTGTCCCCTGTGGGGTATTTTTTCATGTACTCTCTCTCTCTCTCAGTCACTCTGTCTCTCTCCAGCAAGCACACACCCGTCCTGGCAAATTAAAAAGATTAAACAGGGCCAGCAGGTGGCATAGCACTTAAGGTGCTGGACTCCCACGTGGCCGACTATGGTTCCAGTCCTGGATCCAGCAGCTTGAAGCATGCTTGGCACATTTGCATAAGTGCTCAAATCCCAAGGGAAGAATGGAGAAGGGATTACGGTGTGGCCATTCCCCCAGGGGATGACTTCATACTGTCTCTCTGGCAAGTGTACACGCCATGTGGCAAAAATCTCTTTAAAATGAGCTAAAATGTTCAATGCAAATAGCTACCGACCCGGCACGTCCCATGACAGCACACACAGGCAGCGGGCAGCAGGGGCTGGTGCAGCCAGGACAGTGCACGGAGCAGCCCAGAGGGCTCGGTGCAGCCCCCATGGGCAGCCTCCCGCAGTGCCAGGAAGGCAAAAGGCATGCTCCTCTGCGTGCCAGGGGCTAGTAGACAGGCACTCAGTGTGTGTCTGCTTCGTTTTTGAGATGAGTTAAAGGAAGGGCAAGTCAGGACACTCTCTGAATCTATCATTTTGAAAGATTGACTTTGGAATTATGAAAGTGCCCTAAATGACTAAAAAAACGGTTAAATCTAAAAGAAAACAAAATAAAACCATTTATTAAACTTACCAGTATCTGTTCTAAATTTTTCTTCCATCTTTTTCTTCAAAATTTCCATTTCTTCTAATAATTCTCTGTTTTTGGCCTCGGAATCCTTTAGTTTACTAAAATGAAAAATAAATGCTTTAAGTGCCCTGAGAAGAGGTCACCTGCATGCTGGTTCAGAGTGTGAGGGTGGGAGAGGGTGGAGGTTTTTCCCCAGCCCCTGGGGATGTGCCAGACACTCCGAGGTGCTCAGCACACTCAGCCTTTCTGCGGGACCCCTTATAGAGGGCCTCACAGTTCACACCATGAGAGCTGGGACGGGGGTTCGGAGGGCCATGGCGTAGGGAGGTGTTGTCTCCTGAAGCCCTAACAGGACGTGCTAACGTTTCTGATCTTCTTCCCAGAGGAGCTCTCCGTCCTCCGGGGACAGCCCCAGTCACGTGGCTGTCCGATCCCTGACCGTCTCTCCTGTAACCGGCATGACAGTGGCTGCTGCCACCCAACTTCCGAGGCCCCTGGACCCACAGGGGACATGAAGAGGCTGCCCCAGGGTCTGTCTGGCTAGAAGACAGCAGTGACCGTGGGCCTCGCCACCTGTCAGCAAGGTGGCACTGGCGGGGTACTTCGCCTCCACGTACCTGCACATCGTCTCAGTCCCTGTAAAGCGGGGTAGTTAGAGCAATTCCCTACAGGAGTGTGGTCAGGTCACAGGAACAAAAGGACAGCTTTTACAGCAGTTCCTGGGACAGAGTGGTGAATTTAAATGGGAGCCACGACTGTTACTTTTTTTAGTTCCGGGCATGTGTTTGAGTCTCGGTAACCTGGTAGTGACACCATTGGGCCCGGGTCCTTGCTCCCTCGTGGAGCAGTGTCTGGGCAGGACCACGCCCACCCCAACTTCCAAGTCAAGGGCTGCGGGCACAGGCAGGAGGGCTGCTTCTGCGGGGCTGCAGCTCGCGCTGTCTCCTGAGCACACAAGACAGCACCTGCAGCATCTGCCTCTCAGCAAGTCCTGGCTTACTGCTGTGTAGACAGCGCTCACGGCTGGAGCGAGGCC